GTCAAGTTGATTTTTTTTTTTTTAACAAGGGTTATGGTTAAAAAGTTAGTGAGTTAATTGTTAACAACTGGTTCTCAAACCGGGTGAACATTTTACCCCCTCAAATGAGACGCGCGGCCATCAGGTCACTTTTTGGTGGAGTTCACAACGGTGGTGGAGCTCGAAACTCCGACCATCTCACCTAAACACTTAAGGATTAAGGTCAAACCATTAAGCTATAAGGTCCGGTTCAATGTCAAGTTGATTTGTTAATTTATAAAACTTCGAAATGCAGAAATTTTTAAAAATATTTTATCAATTTTTCAATGATTGTGAATGCCACCACCTAAGTCCCTGGCCCCAAAGAATTCATCGTGGGGGGAGGCGCATGCATTTGCCGACCAAACCAAAGCCAAGCAAAAGCCACACATTGACTTTATATGAGTGCCTCAAAATGATCACACAGCAATACAGCCTGCATGGGCTAATGGGGATTCACGCACACATCAATTCACATTTGCTTTTCTTTTCTTTTCTTTTTTTCAATTTACTTTTGCTTTCATTGCTGCCATCATTATTTCCAAACTAATGGGATCGCCGTTCATCACCACGCAATCATTGATACCTTTGACTAATGTTGATTTCACCACGTGACACAGTGTCAGTACTAGGCAAAGGTTTCATGGAAATTTTGACCATCAATCCACGTGTAGATGTACTGTCCAAATGTCTCTGGATTATTTTTGGAATGCTAAGATTGGCCACTTGACAAAATGGTTTGTTTCAATCAAGCCGCCCTTCACTAACTCGCATGGAGTATCCTCACAATTTGTACTACCAAATAAGCCTACTTATTGCATAATTGTAATCTATCTTTCTCGAAATAATCATCATTTTTGACTGATAATTTATCCAAATTAATTAACAAATTATTATAAATTAATATCTTTAATTGCAAATATGACATATACTTACCAATTACTATTATATTAGTAAATGAGGATATTGCTAATGTAATATCTCTTTTATATAAAAGAATTTTTCAAAATCTAGATATTCTGAAACATTCCCCGGACAAGTAGAGTAAACAAAGGCTAAGTAGCTCATATATAGTCCCTAAAGAATTTTGTAAGATAAAGAATGAGTATCTTAAAAGAAAAATATCAACTAAGCTCCCAAGGTATTCAAATGACATTAATCTTGTGCTTGATTATATTTGGAATTGCTATATATCTAGTACTAGTACTACCACTAGTGCCCTAATTATGATTGTTTATGTGTTCTGTTATTGTCGAAATCTATGTTAATGTTTAATAAATTATTTTTTAAAAATGTTGTTAATCTAAATAATTATAATAAAATATATTAAAATTAATTAAACCTAATTTAATAATAAGTAATTTAATATATATATATATATATATTTTTTAAGAAAACAACTCAACATTTTAATAGCATATGACAATATGAAAAGTGCAACGAAAACAATTTCAAATGTGCCTTAACATTTTGTCAACTCTCTTGGCAAAAGTTGATGGACATAGTTAAATGCCAATGAAAAAATAATTTCTCATATTTCATTTCTTATTTCCATTGTGTTCTTTTACTATTCACGAATCAATGTCCCCATTCTAGAGTACATTAATTCCAAAGACTTTTGACATCCTTTGTCTTGCAAATCCAACTCCAACAACCAACATGGATCCTAACTTGTAAAGGGGGATTAACTAAAAGAACAAAAACTTATCCAATGAACCAAATAATTTAATTCAAATTCTTTTAGGTCTGAATTGTTATACTTACCAATCAAGGGACTAATCTTTCACCATGCAAATTCCTTTTGGACTATTTAAGCAATTTAACAAAAAAATGTGAAAAAGGAAACCCCTCTTCCCTGATCCCAATTCCCAACCCTAATTGAAATATGAGAACCCCATCATTTCTTCTGTCCGTTTGGCAAATACACCACCAAAAGCGGGACCCATATCGGCAAAGAATATCAGTCATTTGATGTAATTGGAATCCTTGACTTCACATACTATCAATGGCTCTCAGCGCTTTCACAGGAATCTTAACAACACAAACCAAACGCGACCTTCGGTAAATTATTATTATTATAATATTTTTTTTCAGATATTACAGCTTTATGGAATAAGAACAAAGACCATGATCTTCGTTGTCCTCCTCATTCGTTAAGAAAAGCAGAGATTTTGGTTTCTCCTTTTTCTGTAAGTTTTGTGTCAGGGTTAGAGGGGAGTATCAATGGCGGAGGAGAGTGCTGATATGTCAGTGAAGAGGGCGAAACAGGACGAGGAGGATAATGGGGTATCGGAGTCTGCCGTGGATATGGACAAGGAGGGGAACCCTGATTACATATCCTCTCTTATTCCTGGGTGGTTCTCTGAGATCAGCCCCATGTGGCCTGGTGCGTGTTCTTTCAGGATTCCATCAGTCCCATCATTACTTTGGTTTGTTTTCTCAGAAAACAAACAGAGCATCTCTGTTTTTTTCTTTGTGCAGTTCTGTTTTGATTTCAGCTTGTACTGGTGTGTTTCCATGGACCATGGGCAATTTTTTTTTTCCTTTTCCTTCTATTGTTCTTGTGGTAGACAGAACTTAAGGAAGCTGTTCTTGAGTTTTTAAAAAAGAAGCCTTTTTTGGGCTCTCTTTTTGCATTCAGTAGTTTACATTGTGCAAAACTTCTTACTGATATCATGCAGGAGAGGCACATTCCTTAAAGGTAGAGAAGATTTTGTTTCAAGGGAAGTCTGATTACCAGAATATCATGGTGTTTCAGGTAGTTGATGTTCCCCATGTCACTTTTGTTGGTTTATTAAAATTACCTTGTTCAAAGCTAAATTTTTTACCATCTTTCTTTTGGCAGTCATCAACATATGGAAAGGTTCTTGTTTTGGATGGGGTGATTCAGATCACTGAGAGGGATGAATGTGCATATCAAGAAATGATCACTCACCTTCCACTATGCTCCATTCCTAATCCAAAGAAGGTCTTTATTTCACGCTGTCATAGAGTACATGTTTAATCGAACACTAGATATACAAATCATTCATTTTGCTGGTTAGAATATCATGAAACATATTACTGCTGATTGATACATTACTTTAAAGCTCTTCGATGAATTTCTTTTCATGGTGCAGATTTTTCTTGGCTCATTGCTGAAAGTGATCAATAACTAAAATCAAGTTTTCAATGTTCTCCTTTACTTTCCCTTGTCCCGAGATTTTTCACATGCCTGAAGAACCTTTGTTTGAAAGAGAACTGATATGGAATACCCATAATCTTTTGCTTAAAGATGAATTTTATAGTATATATTTTTTTATGGTTTGTTAGAAGTTGGATTCCCTTTACCTGTTTGCATAGTATGCTTTTTAAAATAGAATATTGCAGCTGTTGTTGAGGCCTTCTTTTCAACTTGTGTAATCACTACTCTTCTTTTTTTCTTTTTTTTTTTTTTGTTCTCACTATAATGTATTTAACCAGGTTTTGGTTATTGGTGGTGGAGATGGTGGGGTCCTGCGGGAAGTTGCTCGCCATTCTTCTGTTGAACATATTGACATTTGTGAAATTGACAAGATGGTAGTTGATGTGAGTAACAGCACTACTCTCTTTCCAAGTTTCCATGATTTGAGCATTGCCACTCTTTTTTTTTTCTTGATCTACACAATATCATTCAGAACTATTCAGATGATGATGATGTCTGTTTCTTCAAGTTGAAATGAACTTGGATTTTTACACAATGCAAGCTTGTAATTTCATTCATTCATTTCTGACAAGGCTGCTAAACACAGCCTTCATGTCATAATGGTATTGATCCTGTTTATGTTTTTAGGTTTCAAAACAATTTTTCCCTGATGTGGCAGTTGGGTACGAGGATCCTCGTGTCACCCTTCATGTTGGTGATGGTATGATCCTTTTCCTTTTAGTGTTTCCTTTCACAGTGTGCTGTTAATTAGAATGCTAATGTGCTTCTTTTGTACTATAGGAGTTGCATTTTTAAAAGCCGTTCCTGAAGGTACTTATGATGCAGTAATAGTGGATTCTTCTGACCCAATAGGTAATAGTTTCTTTCCAACTTGTTTCAGTCCTAAAGGCCTTGGCATCTTCCAATTAAGCAAATCTCTCATCAGGTCCTGCCCAAGAGCTCTTTAAGAAGCCCTTTTTTGAGTCGGTAGCAAAGGCTCTTCGTCCGGGTGGAGTTGTCTGTACTCAAGCAGAAAGTATTTGGCTTCACATGCACATCATTGAGGATATTGTGGCTAACTGCCGCCAGATCTTCAAAGGTTCTGTTAATTATGCGTGGACTACAGTTCCAACATATCCAAGGCATGTACTTGCTCTCCCTATCATCCCTTTAGCTAACTGCTTCCTTGCCCCAAGCCCCCAATCTTGTCCCTCCATCTCTATGCGTCATGCTGCATATATGACTGGTCTCCAGTTCATACTGCTATTTATGTCCCAGGGCTGCCTATGATGATATCATTTTTTATGCTGTTGTAGTGGGGTGATTGGATTCATGCTTTGCTCGACTGAGGGTCCTCCTGTTGATTTCAAGCATCCTGTGAATCCCATAGATGCTGAGGAAAGCCAAATCAAATCAAAACGACCCTTGAAGTTCTACAACTCTGAGGTTCGATTTTACAATTTCTATTCCATCCCAGAGTCCATTTTCTAATTCTAATTCTTCACAATTTCAGACACCTTTTAACTTTTATAATTTTTTTTTCCCTCTCTTTCTTGGTTCAGATTCATTCAGCAGCCTTCTGTTTGCCATCTTTTGCTAAGAAGGTGATCGAATCTAAATGATGAAAATTTTGAAGAGCATTGGAGCACCAGGAGTCAAGCCATTGTAGAGTATCTGGCTTTGATTCTCAGTTAATGGTTCATCTAGTGATGAACCTTTCAATAAATATAGATTTTAATCAATTCTGCCATCAATGTTTCAATCTGGAATTACATTTGCAATAGGATTTTGTTGTAGGATACCATTCTCCTGATCAGAATGGAGTTCGCAGCGTCTGCAAAGCAGTTGTTATGTCTTTCCATCAATCTTTATCAAATTCAACTCTTTCTGTGAGATTTTTTTTGAAATTTTATGTATTCATGCTTGAGATCTTTTATCAAATCGAACTCTTCATAGTGTTGTTGAGGCACCAAAACCTCTACAGAACGAATTTATTATCTACTAAACATAACACCTACAGATGCTTTCATTTCTTAGTTACATATCATGGAAATTAACTAGAGTTCATTCTCTTGCAAGGGATGATTGTTCATCAATTCCTTTGATCTTCTTTCCCATTTCCTCATCCAATTCCTTCTCCAAAACCCGCGATTTGCAGTCATAGAAGTAAACCATAGAGGCCATCCACTTCATCATATTACAAAGACAGAAGAAGCAAACCTGTAACATAATCCCATTCCAATATAAGCTTACTGCCCGTATGACAAAATCCCAACCATAGAAAAACAACATCAGAAAAAGCCCGCGGCGTTCGCTACCACTGTTGAAATAATCAGAGATTACAAGTGCATCCATCCCATATTTCTCCTCCACAATCGAAATCACAACGCTCATCTTCCAAGCAGCAGACCATTCCATGTATTTCATCAGTAGTGCAACAAAGGCAGCCCCATGAAATACTGCAAGGAAGACACTAACAACAGAGTTCCAAAAGATTGCGTAGTAGGTTGTCACTAACCACATCAATCCAAGCAGAGTGGTGGTGGACAGGACATGAGCATACAAAGATGTGATAAAAGCTGCTCTCAACTTTGCTTTGTGAATTGGTTTTTGTACAATTTCCTTGAGACTCATCTTCCTCTCTTCTGTGTATATATCCGATGCCACGTTGATTGTCATGAAGGCAGAGCAGAATTCCAGGAGGTGAAGAGGAACCAAGTAAAGGAGGCTTAGTTGAACCAATCTGTAAAGCAGTTCATCACCCAAGTTTGTGATTATATCAAACGGTGTTGGCCAGATAAAGAGCACGTGAAAAGAGGGTTGATAATTCAGGGTGTGTGAGATTTCAGTAAAAGTACTTTGAAGCAAAATTTCAGAGGACACCAAGAGGCAGAACAAAGGAAATGAGGTGATTATGATGAACAAGAAGAAGTTGATGTTTCTGACAGGGATGAACATGGCTTCTTTGATGATGTCCAAAAGCTCAAGCTTCTGCTTCTGCAAAACATGTTTGCTCCCCATCTCTATGCCTCCCACTCTCCAAAACTCAATTGTAATGGAAGAAATTATCAATTTTCCTTATGGCAGTGTATCCGTCCCTGGTGGGGAAGGAGTTGACAAATTGACCTAGACTTTGTAATTTAATCCTTGGACCCAATGCAACCCCAAGAACACGGTAGTAACATGTTTGCTCCCCATCTCTATGCCTCCCACTCTCCAAAACTCAATTGTAATGGAAGAAATTATCAATTTTCCTTATGGCAGTGTACCGTCCCTGGTGGGGAAGGAGTTGACAAATTGACCTAGACTTTGTAATTTAATCCTTGGACCCAATGCAACCCCAAGAACACGGTAGTATTAGGTTTTGTAACTGCGACTTTGGGTGCTTCTTTGTTATTTCCTTCTAACTTAATAATAAAAAGGGACAAAAGATAAGCATGAACATGTAGATGGAAGATAATAAAAGTAGGAAACCTCGGCTTGCTATTTCATATACTGAATCGAAGACAGCCAACCAACACAAAGCAGGGTCCAAGGCACCCCTTTTGGTGGCTGAAACCACTTTGTAGAGCAGAAGCCATGCAAAACTACAGGTTCTAACAATCCTGCAGTTCAGGCACTAAAACATCTACAGAACGAATTTATTTTCCACTAAACATAACACCTAGGGATGCTTTCATTTCATAGTTACATAGCATGGAAATTAACCAGAGTTCATTCTCTTGCAAGGGATGATTGTTCATCAATTCCTTTGATCTCCTTTCCCATTTCCTCATCAACTTTCTTCTCAAAAATCCTTGATTTGCAGTCATAGAAGTATACCATAGAGGCCATCCACTTCATGGTATTACAAAGACACAACAAGCAAACCTGAAGGATAATCCCACACCAATACAAACCTACCACTCGTATAACAAAATCCCAACCAGAGAAAAACAACATCAGAAAAAGCCCGCGCTGTTCGCTACCTCTTCGGAAATAATCAGAGATTACAAGTGCATCCATCCCATATTTCTCCTCCACAATTGAAATCACAACACTCATCTTCCAAGCAGCGGACCATTCCATGTATTTCATCAGTAGTGCAACAAAGGCAGCCCCATGAAATACTGCAAAGAACACGTCAACAACGGATTTCCAAAAGATTGCAAAGTAGGTTGTCACTAACCATATCAATCCAAGCAGGGTGCAGGTGGACAGGACATGAGCATACAAAGATGTGATGAAAGTTGCTCTCAACTTTGCTTTGTGAATTGGTTTTTCAAACATTTCATTGAGACTCATCTGTTTCTCTTTGTAAATCTTAGATGCTATGCTGACTGACATGAAGGCAGAGATGAATTCTAGGAGATGAAGAGGAACCAAGTAAAGGAGGCATGCCTGAACCAATCTGTAGTGGAATTCTGCATGCAAGTTGTTGATTATATCAAACGGTGTTGGCCAGGTAAAGTAAAAGAAGGGTGGTTCTTTCAGGATCCTTGGGATTTGACTAAGAATACTCTGAAGCAAAATTTCATAGTACCATAAGCAGCAAAACAAAGGAAATGAGGTGATTATGGTCAAGAAGACGAAGTTGATGTTTTTAACAGGGATAAACGTGGCTTCTTTGATGATATGGAAAAGTTCCAGCTTCGGCTTCTGCAAAACATGTTTGCTCCCCATCTTCATGTCTCCCACACTCCGAAGCTCAATCCTAATAGAACTGAAAGTCATGTGTCCTTGTGGCGATGTATTCTATAATGGTGAGATGGAATTGACTAATTTACCGAGACTTTTGGAATTTTAACCCTCCAAGTCTCATTCTTTGACTTTGTGTGCTTTTTTGTTATTTTTTCCAACATTTTGTCGTGGAAAATATGCCATGAGTCATGCCCTCCAACCACGGTGTCGGGTCCAAGACGACATGACTCAGAGACCTAATCAGTAAATGCAATGTTCACGCATTTTTTGTTTTGTATATATATATCCATGAAAGGAGATAGTTATGCATCTCTTCTCTGAAACTGTTAACTTACTATAAAATTAATACCATCATCCTATGATATGGAAGGCTAAACGAACCAAACATGCTCAAAATGCTTGGTCTCAATTTTAATCCCAAAAATGGCATGGCAGTTGAGTTACAACTTCTAAGGTATGGGATAATCGATAGACGGCATGCTAACTAAAAGGTTTAAGAATTGAAATTTTGCTATGCGCAAAACCAAAACAAAGAGTTTTAAGTAGACAAATTCACCTATGAATATGGAGGAGACCGTGAATCCAGACAGGCAAGAACCATGGCAATCGCAGAACCATTCAGAAATGATGCCTCCAGAAGTTACACGGGCTTAAATCAAAAGAAACATCAAGAAAGAATTTGAAATTACAGTCACAAGATTTGATGTAACAAATTGGCAAATAGAATTTGCAATTAACCGACGGATGTCCAAACATCAGCTTAAAACATCAAGCAGGAATCTAACCGGTATATAAAATCCTGAAGAAACAACATATGAGGAAAAAAGGTAGTTGATCATCGATTAGAAGTTGGTGCAGGTTGTAGGGGCGCTTTAGTGCAATCTTTGTACTAAGAGATATCATCAATTCCCAGCATATCATCGAGCACAACACTAAGCATTTTCTAGAGGAGAACATGCTAGGACAACACCTTGCAGGGCCAGATGGCAGAAGTAGATGTAGAGGACGTCACACTACGAAAGGGTGTTGCACATTTTAAACAATTGCAGTTTCTAGCCCAGTAATGAGACAAAGCTACACGAAGTCAGATGATGTAAAGCCGAAAAGCAAACAAGAAAATGACAAGTATGGTTTTCCAGCTTTCTTTTACCAGCCAGCAGACATGTAGAAGGTCCTATGTTCTAGAAGTATTGTTGCTGATGCAAGCACCACAGAAGGTTTGCAACCAAATATCTTGAGCCTAAGCAAAACTCAACATAAAACTCACAAGCTTTATAATGAGCAGGAGCAGCGACAAATAGATGAAGTGATGCAGGGAAGCAGTGACGAGGAGACCAGATCAACTTAGATGTGGTAAAGTGGCGAAACGTTGCTGTTTTACTTCAAAAACACACCTCAGAGTCAAAGCAAACAAATAAATCGTTTAGTATTTCATCCATTTTAAACAGATAATCTACCACAAGATACCAACGTAACAAAAAGGCACAAAAGATATGAATGCACAGGTAGATAACAGTTAATAGAAGTAAGAAAGAGACCTCGCAATTTCACATGCTGAACTGTAGACAGCCAGCCAACACAAAACAGTGTCCAAGGCACCCCTTTCAGTGGCTGAAACCACTTTGTAGAGCAGAAGCCATGCAAACCCACAGGTTCTAACAATCCTCATCCTCATGAAATGCACACAAGTAACATAAATCTCCACCATTCACATATCCTATTAGATCTACAGTATAGCACATATTCTATCCACTAATGTCATTTGATAATTCCTGATCTGCACAATTTGGGCCTGCCACTCTAATCTCTGCATAAAGATATATAAATAAGTAAAATACAATAAATAATAAATTCTAAAAAGAACATCAGTAATGCTCTAACAGAATTCACTATAATTTCACAGAGTTAGAATTGTTAGATATGACTAACCCATTAGCATAGGGAGAATCACGACGAGAACGACAATATGGTGGGGACCTGCTGTAGCTGCGACCACGGCGAGGTGAAATGCTGTGGTGCCGGGGTGATTTTCTTTCTCGTGGGCTATAGCTCCTGGCAGATGATATAAGTCTTACAAAGCAGTAAAAAGAACAGAACATATAAATTCCCAATGCAAAAACAAATAAAATTAAATAATAATAATAATAATAATAATAATAATAATAATAAATAATTATGCATGCTTGCATACGAAAATTGAAAATATTTTTACCTGTCAAAATAATATAAAAATGAAGCATGAACCAGACTAAACTAAATCTCATCAACCCTCACCATACAACATAAAAAACTGTTAAACACACCTGCGCCCATACCCATAACTTGGACTCCTACGGCGTTGAGGGCTGGGGCTTCGACATTGTCCACTCCCCAAGCCTCTTGAACCAATACGCAAGCGACACTCCCGAGCAAAGTGGCCAGGTTCACCACACTCATAACACTTCAAATCCTCACTACCACGTCGTCCACCACGGCCTCCCCCACCCCTAGAATTATGAGAAAGTTCAACACGCCACCCATTCTTGCCTTTAAGCAGAAGAAGAAAAAAAAAAAAAAAAAGAGGCAGCAGCTGTTAGCAGAATTCTCCAAGCCACATAATGCAGGACAGAACAGCGAAAATTTTTTTTTTGGTCAGATCAGAAGAACCATAAAATACTCATCAGAATCTGTAAAGGCCCTTAAGACAGTAATTTAAGCAACCAATCATGAAATACTACTCTTCCATGAAAAAGGAAAACCTAACTCATAAAACAAGCCACTTTTCAACCAAAGCATGTAAAAGAGTGAGGGTAAAAAAAAAAATAATGCCCACTTAGAAACATAGTTCATATGTGACAGGTCCAAAACTCCATAGATAATGAACTGTAATTACAAAAATAGAAAGACTACGAAAAATAAACGAAGATCAACAAAAATTGGACAGCATATACAAAAAGAAGGAACCCATCAAAAACAACAAACTGCAACAACACAAAATAAATGAACCACAATATAACATATATGAAGAAATAAATAAAGGAAATGACTGTACTGACCGTCCAGCTCACGGATTGCATCGATGGCATCCCTGCGATCATCAAACTCTACAAATGCATAACCTGGTGGCCTTCGAGCAACCCATACGCTGCAAAATTTTCATGCGCCAGTAAAGGTGCCAACTTTCAATAAGATATACACGATAGAAGAAAATTAAATAACCAAAAAACTAAAAATAAAATCATCTTATTAAAGGCTTACCTGCGAAGAGCTCCAAAAGCCCGAAATTCATCTTCGAGTTCCCTCTCGGATACTCGAGGATCCAGATTCCCAACATAAACCCGAGACATTTTCGCAAAACAGTGTCAATCTAAGCAAAAACAACGAGCAAAAAGGGTCAAAGCGAACAACTTTTTGCCAAAAGAAATGAGGAAAAAAAAAAAACAACTCTCCCAAGAAACAACGGGTGAAATTAATGAAGGGATTTTTTAATATGATAAAAAGATACAGGTTTTATAGTGAAAGAAAAAACGTGATTAAATGAGGAGATGATTTACGTTGAGAAAATTCTAGGGCTCAGTTTGAAGACAGATGGAAAATTCTAAAACCCTAGAATTAGAAAATTGGGATTCTTCGTTGCGTCTACTAGGGCATTTATGAATAGATGAGGATAGGCCCATTTGTCCTTTTTGGTCTCCTCCTCTACTGGATTGGGCTGGGCCCAATGGGCAACTTTTTAAATTATTATAAAAGTTATTTTTATATTAATTACTATTAAAAAAATAAAAATTAATTTTTATTTAAATATACGTGTTCTTTTTTTTTTTTTTGTTAACCTTTCAATATTTAAAAATCTTATTAAACTTATGTTAATCCAAAATTAAATTATATCGAATCGTATGAGAAGTTTTCTCATTTATTTATTTATTTAGGAAACTTGACTTATTTTTTTATTCAGGTAATCTAAATTAAAGAATTTATTTAAAAAAAATTAAATTTTATCAACTTGAATTAAAATGTTATTGATAATACACGTGTTATTATTAATGAAATTAATATTAATTTTTATTATTTTAAATATTTATTAATAATAAAAAATATATATTAATTATATTATTAATATATGCCCTAAACACAGTTTAAAAACCCTTATTATAACAACAACAAAAATGTTTATTTACGGTTTCTCCTACATTTGAAAGCATCCGTAAAGCATCCGTTGTTCGTAGGATTTGTAAAGATAAAAATATTCTTATTAAATTAGGATGCATTAAAATTTATTAATTATGTTTTGTCTTTTCCCTTAATTGATTTCTTAAATGTGGTCTGCCCTAAAAAAAAACTTTTTTGTAATAATTTTTCTTGATAGGCAGAGGTTAAGGATTGAATTATAGATTTGTAATTAAAAGTATGATTTTTTTTTTTTATGTTATTGTACAACAAGAGGTAACTTTTTTTTTATCTTTTATCTTATCTGTATGTTGTATGATTTGAGTTCAAAATTTTTTACTTTTAATAAAATAAAATTATCATTAAATTATTTTTATCGTTGAATATAACTAATTTTATTATTAAACTATATAATTGATGTTTTTAGTTGCATTTTATTATAAATGAATCTCTATTGTGTTATTGATTAAGATATTTAAATGTTTTTTTTAATATTTTTAACATTTTAATTGTAAAAAAAGAAAAACTAATTTTCCACAATCTCTTTTTATCATAATACTTATTTTTTGAGTTAATTAAATTATACTCACTCCATTTAAATTTAGTATATAGTAATTTTAGTTTCATGTTTTTATTTTTTAGATATAAATTTTTAATAAAAATTTAATAATTTATATAAATAATAATTAATTTTTTATATATAATTCTAGTTGAACATTTTTATTTAATAAAAAAATTTTAATTATCATTTATGTAATATATTAAATTATTATCTAAAATATATATTTAAAAAACTAAGAAATTAGATTAAATATACTAAATTTAACTTGACGAAATACTAAATTGTGAAATATAAATGGAAAATTACCTCACATTCGGTTCCTCTTGCCTCTGTCTCTCAAACATCATTGTTTTTTTTTTTTGTTTTCCGCCGGTATTCAGCCCTTTACCTCAATTAATCTGGATCCGATCCGCGTCGCGTACCTAAAAATAGTGAGTAAATCTCCCAGCGAAGACTGTTACATACACAAAATCTCAAATTTAAAATCTTATTTAAGCTGAAACAAACCACTTACCATTTAATCCAACGTCTCATTGATTCAAACATAATTGTTATGCAGTCTAAAACAGGCATTTCCTCCTCTCTCTTTTTTTCCCCCTTTTTTTTTTTAATTAAAAAAAAAAAAGAAAAAGAAAAGAGAGGCTGCGATTTTCCCAAGACCATTGTCAATTTGTGACGATGGTTGTTCCCGTAAGAAAGAGTCACCATCCTCTCCCTACTTTGAGGTCAGGGGATGCGCAAGCAGAAGAAGCAATTTAAGAAACCAATCAGGATAAAGGCTACTTATTTAGGATTAATTACAAAAATGACATTATACTTATATTTACCAAATCTCCCAAACTCCAAAATCTGTCCCATCCTAACTATTTCACTGTCTTCTGTTTCTGCAGTAACAGTCCTACTTTAACCTCTGTTTGCAATCCGTTAAACAGACAAGAAGGACTAAACGACACCCAGATAAGTTTTAGTGATTTTCCTTGGGCTTTTGCAGTTACCCAATTGTGGAAGATTGTTAATCTGGAAAAAAAGATATCTTCTTTTGTATAAAGACTTGAGCTTTTGCAAATTGGAAGTGGGGATTGAGGGGTTTGTGAAAATATGGACGAGGAAGATAGGATTTCAGAGAGCAGTGGTGGTAGATTGGCTCGGCGGAGTTATAGTGGTGGCGGGGAATCGAGGTGGGTTGATGGTGGTGAAGTGGACTCTGATTCACCACCTCATTGGTCTTCGACTGGTGATTATGATAGCAGAGGAGAGTATGGATCTTTGAGGAGGAGGCTGGTGAAGAAACCAAAGAGAGTTGATTCATTTGATGTTGAAGCCATGGAGATTGCTGGTGCTCATGGTCACCACTCCAAGGTAATTTTGCAATCGCCGTCTTTGAAATTATGCAATTTGATGGCATTTTTATGATCACTTTGCTCTTTTATGTTGGCAATATGTACATCTTGGGTCTATAGCGTTCCGTGATATAGTGAAATTGGGGGAACTATCATCTTGGAATGTGGTATGGAAGTTTAGGAAACAACATAAATTTCCATGCTTTTTTCCTTTTTCCTTTTAGAGTTTTTCTATTGACATAGGAATTAGGAACCCTTCTGTATTGAAAAGAAGTGCAATGACGGAAGCGTCATGAAGTTGTTTACTTATTCCATCTCCTATAGATTGGCGCATCCTGGTGGATTCATGACCATGCTATGAATAAGCATCTTTGCTCATAAGTACAATGGTTGTGAATGTCTGGTAGGAGAGTTATGATCTCAATATGAAGAGCAAGTACCCAAAACTTGTGTATGTAGGGGAAAAAAGTATCAGGGTTTTACATTGTGATGGGTCATGTATGTGTGAAATAGCTAGAAAATCTATATATTACATTTCTTCCAATCAGAGATGGCAATCCATGTGAAAAGGAAAATGATTGTAAAAGTGAAGGGTTCGTCCCAATACAAATGTTCCAAGCATAAGGACACTGCATCATGTTTGAAGAATTGTTTGATCTTGTCCTCAAGAATTTGCATGTCAATAAAATTAGTTGTTTTCCATTACTAAACTTTATCACTTGAAAAAAACAGGATCTTTCTACTTGGGCCACTCTTGCATTAGCCTTTCAAACACTAGGTGTTGTATATGGTGACCTCGGCACCAGCCCTCTCTATGTTTTTGCTGATGTATTTAGCAAGGTGTCTGTTACATCAGAGGTTGACGTCTTGGGTGCTTTATCACTGGTGATGTACACAATTGCTCTTCTCCCATTAACAAAATATGTTTTTGTAGTGCTCAAAGCCAATGATAATGGAGAAGGTAAGGACCCTCCCCTTATAACGGAAGTTATACTCTCCTTACCTTTATGCTGACCATTTCAAATATTGATTTTTACATTTGACACATAAATTCATGATTTTCAGGAGGAACATTTGCACTGTACTCACTGATTTGCAGGTATGCAAAGGTTAACATGCTGCCAAATCGTCAGCCTGCTGATGAACAGATCTCAAGTTTTAGGCTCAAGCTACCCACTCCAGAATTTGAAAGGGCTTTAAGAATTAAAGAAACTTTGGAAAGGAGATCAACCTTGAAAACCCTTCTACTGTTGTTGGTTTTGATGGGAACTTCCATGGTTATCGGGGATGGTATACTAACTCCTGCAATATCAGGTAGGTAGATGTGCATATTTTGTTAAGCTAAGGAAAATGGAGCATGCACAGATACTTCTAGTTATGCTTTTTCTCACATATTCATGGACGTATGAATTATATTCTGTTTTTGATAAGTTGAACATGGAGCTTAGTTTCTTTTATTTGCAATAAGTTTACCTTACGACTGGTTTAACTGGATAGTGGATAACTGATTATTATTTAAAACCAAAGATGCCTTCAGTGGGCCTGTGTTTGTTCTTTGTAACTGTGCTCACTGAATGTGGATGTCCTTCAGGAGTCATGTAAATGGCGGAAAATATGATATGAATTTATGCTTATTTGTTACTTTCTTGATCAAATTTACTACCTCATGTAATTCGGGTAATTCTTTGTGGCTTACATGTCTTATTTTGTGGGTAGCAAATGGTTAAAGTCACCTTTAAGAAGAGCAGACTGTCTTCAGCAATACTCCTCCCTTCTTATGTCATATACAATATAATGTCCTCCCTTTTTTCATTCT